GCTGGTACTATAACTTATATAAATATTGTATCATTGTGATTTGTAGCTGATGAGGAGTATGAAGTCGTACTCAACTCCATCTAAGAAAATAGTCATTTAGATATGATTTGTGTGGCCTGAAAGAATTTTATCAGAGCTCCACGGTGGGCATCAATGTTCTTGTGAAAAAATATAAATCAGTTGACCTTCCTAATGCTAACTAGGGGGAGATCGTAAATGTGTGGTCAAGTGTCTGTAAGTGTATAGAATTCATGCCCACCATTGTTGATGGCCAAGGTTTCTGTGTATTCTCTCCTTGTTATGTTATTCAACCTACCTCTTCCCATATTTTGTTACTAAATTCCTACTTTTATACTACAAGACCCTTCTCCTTCCATGGATCCTCAATAGCCACGTTCAATAGGCTTGATAGCTATTCATGGCCATAAGCGACATAACCATCCATTAATAATTTGTAATAGATTTAACTGTCTCTAACATCTTTTATAAATATCTGTAACAGTTTCATGACTTTTTGGTCGACCCCCACCCCTTTAGCTACTTAAGGACCCGGCCGTCCGACATCTGAGGTCGTCCTATGTGTGCCGATCTAAGGCTCTTATATGACCATCTCGACCAATATTGTGAAATAGGTACCTCGGCTAGTTTAGAAAATTCCAGCTTCATGCCTCGACCGACCAAATAATTTTCGAGATGTACACCTACCCCCTCTGAACAACTCTAGAAGCAAAGATTTTAGGGATTGAGACCCGCACCAATTAGCCGACCAAAAGGGTGTTAAAGTCTCTTCCCCCATATAGAACCAAATATTAGTTGCGAAATCAAAAGGGTTTTTACCTACACTTCTTTTGAAAGAAATGAGGTCCCTCTACCAAGTTAGAATAGAACCCTTGAGACAATATAAGTTTCCATACAAAATAAGATGTTCATAGTTTCCATACCTAACTCTTATAAAATCAACCCAAATAGGGTTCTTTTTGTTTAACAACCTCCACTTCCATTTATTGAGAAGTGTCAGGTTGAAGTCTTCTATACCTGTCACCTTTAAACCTCCCTTCGACTTCTCCTAGCAGATTTGATTCCAAAATTGTAATGATCAATTATTCGATTTGAATTATCAAAATGTCTTTGCTTTACCATACAAACGTCAAATTCCGAAGAATAATGAATATTGAACATTCATATGAAATACAATCATCACACTAATCGAATCGATGAAATAAAATAGCATATAAAATATAATGTCGTTGCATCAGAACTATTCATATCTTATATGAATCAATCAATCACATATATATCATTAATGGATGATCAAAGTATCGTTGATTCACTATACAAACGTTAAATTCTGAATCATAGTCAACAACGATCAATCCAAATTATACAAACAAGATGCTAAATTTTAATTTCTTATTATTATTTAGTTCATTATGTGTTTTAATCAAATTAATACACAAATTACAAAAAAAAAAAAAAACAAATATCCGATACATAGTTTTTTAAGTGGCTCTAATACAACTGAATGGAAACCGCAATACAAAATGCAGCGAAAAACAAAAAAAAAATATTTTAGTTCACCCTTACGAGTGATGCATGATCAGTGATAGAAATATTACCTCTTTTAGTGATTAACACATTTGATGTAGAATCAGAGGAACGCTCACGAGCATTGAATGAAGAACAAACCCTCTATTTATTTCACTCGAACAGAGTGCCTTCAATCTCAACGTTAACGGCTACAAATAAAGAATTTTAGTGTGTGTGTAACAGAGAGAGAGAGAGAGAGAGAGAGAGAGAGAGAGAGAGAGAGAGAGAGAGAGAGAGAGAGAGAGAGAGAGAGAGAGAGAGAGAGAGAGAGAGAGAGAGAGAGAGAGAGAGAGAGAGAGAGAGAGAGAGAGAGAGAGAGAGAGAGAGAGAGAGAGAGAGAGAGAGAGAGAGAGAGAGAGAGAGAGAGAGAGAGAGAGAGAGAGAGAGAGAGAGAGAGAGTAACAGGTTTAGAGAAGCCATATAGGCCAATGCCAAGTCATGCGTTGGGGGTTTGGATTATCATGATGTTTGGGCCATGAATGGTGAATGAAACACTAACCGAGACGTTAGATATGAGGTTCTCACAAAGAGTGAATCATAGGCAAGTGCAGATCTAGGTATTATGAAATGGGGGAAGTTGAATCCACATGCTTAATTTGATTTTAACAAATAGTTAATTATTTATATATTTTGACCCCATTAAAATAAAGTGTTCCCCCACATATTATGGTCTCACGAATGACACACTCTAGTCTAACACATAAGCATAATAAACAACATTTCTTACTTTTTATCAGTATAAACTAATTTTCTTTTAATAAGAAATACTATAGGACAAACTAATGTCATACTCTTTTATTTAGTAATAGTATATATTTATTTTTCTTCTAAACTATAAATTGTCTTTGAAAATATATTCAATATCTAATAAAAATTACATTCCCTTGAACTTTTGGTTATTACTACAATTGATAGTCAATTCACATGCAATTAAATTTTTGTTTGGCTTGATGATATCTTTTGAATCAGAAAAAAAAACCTAACTCCTTTTTAATATACTCTCTTCATTTTTATATATAAGCAAATTTTAACATTTTAGATTTATTAAATAATTAATGTATCTAAATTTTATATAGTCCAAATACATCATTTACTCAACGAATTTAAGAAGTTAAAATTTGTTTATAAAAAAGAATAGAGAGAATAATTTTGAAAGGAGAAATTATATGTAACTGTGGATAATCCGAAAAGGAAGACCTGGAAGACTAGAAATCAGATAATCTTCAATAATGTGTTCAGTAATGCTGATGACATTGTCCAAAGAATTAGATACTTCTCTTGGTGGTGATTGGCCTGTCTTCTAAGCATAAGTTTAAGTGTAATTGTTACAAATGGTGTAAAAGTTCTTCTAATTTATTATAGGAGGCTCATGTATTTTATAGGTTGATTGTTAGGAATTGGAATCATATTATTTGTTTAGTGACTGTTTGGATTGGAATACTTCTAGTAATTCCATTGAATATATTTGCTTATCTAAAAAAAGATCTCGAAGTAAAGTTGAAACAATATCAAATTTGTATTATTTATAAGTTTATGTATTTAATATGATGATTTAGAGAATTAAAAAAATTTAATTTATAACATATTTTAAAATGTGATGATGAGTTTTTTTAAAGATTTTATTGAAAAATTTGATTATTCTGACTTCATTTTATCTTTTACAATATTTGATAGTGTTGAAAACGAGAAAAAAATGTTGATATTCTCAAAATATAAAAACACGTTAAATTTATTATAAATTATAAATTTTGAAGTGTCTTCAATTTTTTGATATACAATAATATATTTTTCATAATTTTTGTGTTTTTCGATATATAATGTAATAATTTTTTGTTTATACATTTATATATATTTTATAAATATTTATAAAATACTTAGTCTTGATCCCACTTATTGAAGTTTCAACATCCTTCTCTGATCATAGGATACTCACTAAGAGTGAATCAAGGTGATCCGCCTGACATTGACAATACAAGACAAATTGCATGTTACTAAATAAGGGTTAGTTAAGGAGATGGTGAGGATATGAGGTTCTTTCACAGAGATTACAATCAATCAATAGGTTTGGTTATATTTTATTCCATCAGGTCTTATTTATAAGAGATAGTTAATTTTTAGATTCATTGAGTAATCAATGTATCTAATTTATTATCCAGTCTAACTACATTGATTGTTCAATGATTCCTACATAATAAATTTTCTCTTATATATAAGACTAGAGAGAGTATTATAAGAATGTGTCCGACCACATTCATTATGAGATCTTGGGAGATGTGTTATTAGTGCATCGAAGACATGCTAGCAAAGTAAGGTTTGATTTCTCTTTGTTTTATATGGTGCAAGATAGTGAAAAGTTGATTCAGGCTCTGAACCATGTATGGTTTGGAACTTTCAAAGTTTGGGCAAAGGTAGCACAATATGACCATAATAAGTGTAAGATTTAGAATATTTAGTTCATTAATAACAACACTCTAGTTTAAAGGATGTGCTTTCAAAGGGAGAATGGAAGGGGCGAGAGAGAAGAAGTTGCAAAGATTGTGAAAGTAATCATCTAAGAGGGGCGAAGCAAGTATTTGTGGAGACTCAAAGAGACATGAGTCATTTTTAAGTCACTAAGAACATGTTCTTTCTTTTATAAGCAAGGTTTAATTAAACGAGTACTAGGGTTATTCGAATCCCAATTACAAATAGAACTCCCCTAAGAGATCTGGGAAAGAAAAATTCAACACTGAAAAAAAACTAAACATTACAAGAAAATAGATTCTTACAGAAGTCGTAAAAACTAACATAAACATGCTGAATATTTCCTAAAATAGACCATTTGTAGGATGCGTCATTAAATAAAGGCTTAATACTCTTTTTGGTCCTCTACCTATGACTTGGAGTCCATTTTGGTCCTATTCATTTTAAAATTTCCAAGTTGGTCTTGTACATTATTAAAATGGTACCACGTTAGTCCCGACTGTTAGAAACGTTAGATTATTATCAAAAACCTGACTGCGTGTTAAGTTATTGTTGAGGTGTAATGAATTGTTTGGTTATGTGGCATGATGGGTATTGACTTGGTTGAGGTGTCATCTAAAGTAGTATAATATTTTCATTTTCATTAATTAAATTATGTATTAAAATAGAAAGCCCTAACAGAGCACGAAGAGAGAAGAAGCAAGCTGAGGAAGACGAAGAGCACAAAGAAAGAATAAGCAAGCTGAGGAAGACGAAGAAGCGACATAGACGACGGTTAGTTTACACGTCCTTGTCTACTCTGAATGTGTGTAAATGTTGTGTTTTCTTGAACTGATTAGGTATCTAGGGTTTTTTTGCCCCTTTTGAAATCTGCTATTATGTTACTTTATCTTGTATGTAATGTTGTGTTTTCTTGTTCGTAATGTTGCGTTTTATTATGTTAGGTAGAAATGGAAGAATTTTTGTGTTTGAAAATTCATCATAGTGGTGAGTTTGTGGACTCTGAAAAAACTGATTATGTGGGGGGTAAATGTAATGATTTAGAGATAGATGTGGATAGGTGGTCATACTTTGAATTGGTTGGTGTTGTGAAAGATCTAGATTACACTGAGGTAGACACTATATATTACAATGACCCCACATTTGGAATGAATTTTCTTAAGGATGATAAGGGTGCGTTAGATGTAGCTGACCTCTGTAGGGTAAATTTGAAAGTTGACATTTACATAGAACATCTGTTATTTCAACCAGAATATGTTGAAAATCCTATAAACATGATGGAGCAAAAATCCATAGATGAAGAACCATTAAATATGGTTAATCCGGAGGTAGAATCCACCCTTGAAGATCTTTATGAAGAAGTCATAAAGGATACAAACGTAGGTACTGATGGTGAGGGTGTGAACAATAATGGTGTTGAGGGTACGAATGTAGGTAAGGGTGTGAGCAATAACGATGTTGAGGGTAGATGAGGGTGTGAACAATAATGGTGTTGAGGGTATGAATGTAGGTGAGGGTGTGAAGAATAATGGTGTTGAGGGTATGAACGTAGGTGGGGGTGTGAACAATGATGGTGTTGAGGGTATGAATGTAGGTGAGGTTCGTGATGTTATAGATACTAATGTTGATTTGTTGAATGAGATTACAAGCTCGGATAACAGTGAGGATGAGAGTTACAATTACGATAGTGTTTTGGAAGTTACGTTTAGTGATTCTGGTATGAGTGTGAATTATTGTGAAGAACACTTAGACAATCTTGTTGAATATGATGGAAACCATGAAGAAACAAGTAAAAAGAAGAAAACGAAATGGGAAGGATACAGTGGAGAAGAGAATGGGAGTTTATATGATAGTGAGGAGTTAGATAGTGGATGTGATAGTGAATAGAGTGATGAACCTAGGAAGAAGAAGTATCCCATTTTTAGGTTATTGAAAGATATGGCTCATTATAAATGAGAGTTGGGAACTTATTAACTCAAAAAGTGACTTTAAGGAAGCAATTCAAACGTATGTTGTCCAATCTGGTAGAGGTCTTAATTTTCTAAAAAATGAGAAAAAGAGAGTGAAGGTGGTGTGTAAGGAAGGTTGCCACTGGGAGGTATATTGTGGAAAGTTTCTTAATGAGGAGACTTAACAACTAAGGAAAATAGTTGATAACCACAATTTCTCTAGGGAATATAATGTAAAAATGATGAGTACAAAATGGCTTAGCAAGAGGTTAAAAAATTCATTGAAAAATAATCCTAAGATGAAGCTAAGGGATATAAAGGAAAAGGCTCAAAAGAAATGGAATGTGGGGGTTAATAAGACAAAGGTAATTAGGGCCAGATTTGCAGCTAGGGATATGGTTGATGGCTCATTTTTAAGGGACTACACAAGGATATATGATTAATGTCATGAAATTCTAAGGACAAATCCTGGTTCAACTATCAAGTTAAATGTCACATTAGTCCAAGAAAGTGTTGAGGATATAAGGCCTTATTTCAAGAGGTTATATATTTGTTATGCTGCTTGCAAAAAGAGTTTCAAGTGTGTAGGCCTATTATTGGTATTGATGGATGCTTCTTAAAGGGGCTTTGTGGAGGTCAGATTTTGGCAGCTATTGGTACAGATCCTAATGACCATATGTTACCTATAGCTTTTGCTGTAGTGGAAGGGGAAACTAAAGACAGTTGGACGTGGTTCTTATAACTCCTCATTGATGATCTAGGTGGTAGGGAAGAATGTATAATATATACATTCATTTCTGATTAGCAAAAGGTACCACTCTATTTTTTTACATTTTCAGTTAGAGTATGATGTGTCTAGTGAAACTATGTAGTCACCATCATTTGGTTTAATTTTGCAGGGTCTTCTTTCTACAATGGATGAATTACTTCCTAATGTTGAACAAAGATTTTGTGTAAGACACTTATACAATAATTTTAGGAAGAAGTATCTAGGAAAAATGTTGAAGGAGATAACTTGGAAGGCTGCTAGGGCTACTTACCCACAAGCATGGGAAAGGGAGCTGAGAGGTATGAGACAAATACATAAAGAGACTTACAAGCACGTGATGCAGACTCCTCCGAAATCTTGGAGCAAATCATATTTTAGGATAACTTCAAAGTGTGATTCTGTATTAAATAACATGTCAGAGGCATTCAATAATGTCATTGTAGAGTCAAGAGCAAAGCCATTGATGACCATGCTAGAAGAAATTACGGGATACGTCATGGAAATGTGGGCAGCAAATAGGGTGAAATTCTCACAATTAAATGATGGGGATGTTTTGCCAAACATTAGAAGGAAAGTTGAAAAAACAAGGAGTTGCACAAATTATTGGATAGTAAGGTACAAAAACTGCTTTAATACAAATAATTTCTTTAGTTTTTGTACTTTAGGTGGCTTTTTATACTATTTTGAATGATGTCATCTGAGTTTATATTTGAAGTAAGACACATTGAAAATTAAGGTGATATGTTTGCTGTTAACTTGAAGGAACGTGATTGTTCATGCAGAAAATGGTAATTCACTAGTCTACCTTGTATTCATGCTCTGTCTGCAATGAAGAGTAGAAATCTAAGTGTTGATGATTACATTCTAGAGTGTTATAAGCAGGGTGAAATTGATGTATCAGATAGAAAAATAAGAAAAATTGGCATGATACTTAGGTGTACAAGGTGTAGACAAACTAGACACAATAAGTCCACTTGTAAGAGGACTCAGCCACCAACAGAAGCAAATCAGCCAAGAGCAACACCAACTCTAACTAAAGAAAACCAAGGGCAACACTAACTCAAGGAAGTCAAACAAGGGCAACACCAACCACAACTCAAGGAACTCAATTAAGGGCAAAACCAACACCAACCACAAATCAAGGAACTCAATCAAGAGCAACACCAACACCAAATCAAGGAAAAAATACAAAGGCAACACCAACCACAACTCAAGGAACTCAACCAAGGGCAACCCCAACTCAAGCAAGTCAGCCTAGGGCGACACCAGCACAAGCAAGGCCATAGAAGTTGCCTTTTAGGAAACCAAGACAAACATCTGTTACAATGGCTTCTGTTTCATAAGGGCTAACCACCAGGCTACGTGCATCACAAAATGTAGTGGGACCTACAACTAGGAGGACCACTCTTACCAAAAGAAACAACACAAAGAGGCCCATTTAGATTTATGTAGTTTTTGTTTTAAGAACATGGTTGATGTTATGTTGTTTTTAAATTTTTATGTTATGTTGTTTTGGTATTTATGTAGTTTCTGTAACAATGTCATGTTATGGTATTTTGAACAAGGTTTATGTTATTTTGAACAAGTGTCTGTAACAATGCCATGTTATGGTATTTTGAACAAGGTTTATGTTATTTTGAACAAATATCTGTAACAATGTCATATTATGGTATTTTGAACAAGGTTTATGTTATGCTCCATTTGAACCATGTTTATGTTATTTTGAACAAATGTCTGTAACAATGTCATGTTATGGTATTTTGGACAAGGTTTATATTATGTTCTCAAATTTGAACAAGGTTTATGTTGACAAACTTAATCATGTCACAAAATTCTGTTATTTAACAAGGTTTATGTTATGTTGTCAAAATTCTGTTGAAAAATTCTGTTATACCAAAATTCTGTTATTTAACTTTTCAAACTAAATCTTATAACAACATAACACAACTAACTTTTAACTTATCCAACTAAATCATGTCACAAAAGTACACAACTAACTTGGCAACTTTGAATAATGCAAGTTTTACTACAACTTGAACACTAAAACAATGAACATAATACTTCAATCTCTCACAACAACTTGAATTCTTTTACAATAATTTGATTACTAAAACAAATAAAACAACATAGAACATAAACTTCCAGATCTTCTTCCACTTGATGGTGTTCTTCAAAGCACCCTCTAATTCCATATTATTGAGCCTTAAAACTTCAAACTTTTTTTTGCCTTCTTCCATCTCTTGACTAAGCACATCTATTTTCCATTGATTCTTCATCATGGTTTGCTCCTTTTCACCTCTAGCTTCTTCATAGAACCATTCAAAAAATCCACAATCAGCATTGTTATATCCCTGTAGAGATTCAGAACATAATCTGCAATGAATTACATAGACATTTCTAACAATATTCAACTTATCTTATTCAGACTAAACCTTACCTTAAAATGCTAACAACCCCAAAAAAGCTTTCCATAATTATTGACAGTTCTTGTCTTACGAAGTATAGCATTGTCTCCACAACGACATAGAAGCTTCTGTGGAAGTTTAGAGCTGCTTAAGACCTGCGATTCACTTTGTTTTCTAGATGATGTTGACGAACCGTGCATAGAACTCATGATTAGATGATGATTTAGGTTTCAATTAGGGGATTTTGTAAAGAATTTTACATTAGGGTTGAATTTGGGGGGAAATAGAAAAATGTTTCAGCAACAAGGAAGAAGAAGGGGATGAATAGACAATTCACCCATCCACCTCAGCTTCCACGTCATCTGAATTAACGTCGTTATCCATTTTTTGACAAAAAGGACCATTTTGGTCCTGTTAGACAATGTAAGGGACAACCTTAAAACTTTTAAAAAGAAGAGGAACAAATTAGACCCCGAGTCATAGGTAGAGAACCAAAAAGGATATTAAACCTTAAATAAAACATCATTATAGAGCACTCACAAGCTCCATATCACAGCTAGCCAAGGCGTCCCTTCAATACCTCTAAATCCCTCCTTGGACCTACAACAACCCCTCCAATGAAGAAAATTATGTCAAGTTAGACCTAGAACAGCCCCTCAAATGAAGAAAATTATGCCAAGATGGATCTACAACAACCCCTACAAAGGACATGTTCTTGATGCAGAATAATGTATTGGATGTTGTTGAAGATGTAGATTTTTTTACATCAATTCATTTGTGTTTCTTCTACTGTAGTTTCGTGTATATTGGTATCAAATTGGGGAGATGAAATGTGTTTTTATGTGATAATATGATGAATATGTTTTAAGAATGATTTGAGAGTTTATTTAATTAATCAATTCTTAAAATTTGTTCATCAGTTGAATGCTTGTGATGAAATGTTGCATTTAAAAAACCTATTGCATAAAAGTTTTTTAAAAGTTAATATCTATATAGAGAACAAAATTAGATTGGATTTTGCAAGATTTTGATTGTTACGACATTGTTTGATACTATCAATTTCAAAAAATCTGTGTTAATTGACAAGATTTTATATTATTTTAAATCCTTGGGGAAAAGTATTCTTTGGTCGTTTGAAAATTTGGTGTGAAAAGAAGATGATGCATTGAATTTGATTCTGAATGTTAGTCGTATGGGATTAAATCTAATGTATTAATCAATAATGAGAAGATATAGGTTACTATGAAAGTGCGTACCCATTTAAATAGGGATTTAATAAATTTAAAGTGTGACATCATGGGAAATTTGAATGGAAGGGGTGTATGGCTCATAACCTGTGGTGGTTTATG